TACTGTTGATAGGGGGGTCGACTTGTATAGATGTTTTGCTTATTAAGATTGAGAATTTTTCATTTTCAAATATAAAATTTACTCGTCACTGACTTTAAATAGGCCTATAAGATTTTAGTTTTTATTAAGTAATGTCCAGAAACTGCTTAAATCTCTGACAGAAGAATATAAAGTGTTTCTCAATCTATAGATTTGGACCAGGTTTCTTTCGATTTAGTATCGTTTCTATATTAAAAAAAATCGGAAATAATTACATTTTAAAATTTTCCACAAATTCGGATCATAAATTCGTTGTTTCACTCAATTAATCCTTTAGAATTTTACCTTTCTGCAGTTAAATTTCGAGTGATGGAAACGAAATTTGTTAGTGGTTTCTCTTTATATGTTTTGCTGCAATAAATATTTTTATGTGCGGCACCCAACATGTTATTATTACATTTATCGCTTAAATACCAGAAGAAAATGGCTACGTCAGTGACGATAATAAAAAAAAAAAAAAAAAAATGATGGATACTAAGAATAATTTCTATCACGAAACTGTTCTGTTAGGAAACTAGGCTATATCACTTAATTTTCTATTGCCAGGAGTGATTTTTACCTTCTTTCGCTTAGGGTTTTCCTTCTGTATTAGAAATTAGTATGACATTGTTAAAGCTTAAATTTCTTCCTCGCAGTGATTATTTAGTATCGAGATTTTCAAGGTTTGTTAATTTCGATAGGATATATATATATATACACACACTATCGTTTTAATAGCCTCAGCGGGGTTGAATTATGGTTGCGATCTTCTTTCCCGAAGATAAATCCATCAATTCCCTTCACGTCAGGGTTCAAGCATTTGTTTCTGCTAGTGGCCTCGACTTTTCTTTCAATAAAATTTTGCTCACAGACGTTTTAAAATATGTCGACAATTACTAAAGAAATTATATACTCTAATGCCATTTTATACAATATTTTCTGCAAAAAAATTTAAAATTACTCCTTCGAAATTATATTATAACAGTATTATTTTTATAAAATAAAAATTTTTTTCTGTAAACATTGAAAAAATATATATATATCCTATATATTTTTAGCGAATTTACTATTTGATCAAAGCAGAAATCTAAAAATATCCGAGTTGGTGCATTGTTTATAATAGAGATAAACATAAGCGGAACCTCGCTAGACTCGTTAAACGTTTTAAAATTAATTTTGTAGATCAAAATGTGTCAAAAGGTACTTTACCAATTCGATTTAGTACGAAATTCAATTACAGATCAGCTACGTTTCAGTTGTCGAATGTCTTGTTAGATGACTCCGATAACTGACTGAACTTCAATATTCATCATTTCTAGTAATAAAATATTGACAAGATGGTCTATTATTTATTTAAAACAATCCGTAAAGTTTTAGAAAATAAATTTATAACTTTGATTTGTAGCGACTCGAATTTCAAATTATTAAAAAAATAAAATAAAAACTTCTAGAATATATAAGAAAAAGAAAAGAAAAGAAAAAACTTTCTATAAAATTGTTATTTTGAAAAGACGATATAAAAAATAGTATGGATTTTTTTTTTTAAATATTTTTTTACCGTTAAAAATCCTAACGGTTACGACGCTTTGCAAGAAGTGTTAGACCACTTTTGACTCCACTTAAGCGATAATAAAGCTTTAGAACTGATTCGTATTGCATTTTTTATAAACAAATAGTAAACAAAAAAGAAAATGCAAAACGTTTTAGAGGGGGTACGAGACTTAAAAAAAGAAAAGAAAAAAAAAAGCACAGTTTGTATGTGAGTTAGGCATTTGCTTGGTTTCCGTTCGAAGCGTGCGTCAGTATGAGAAGCGCTCGTCCGTTTCCAGTGCAATATTAATGAACCATCTATTCGCAGAGCGTATGAATACTTCATGTTAATGAAATATCCTTTGTAATATTTAGGAAAATCGAGCTAAAGGCATTTTGGAACCAATATCTTGAATAAAATCGATTTCAATTTTTAAATTTCACAAAATATCCTAGCTCCTTTTAACGTTGACTTATATGCCCGACTTTACTCTAGTTTATTAATAATAAAAGTATACTACGTAATTATTTAAAGACACGATAACGAACGATAGATAAGTTTAAAAGCCCGAGATCAGTTAAAAAACATGACGTATCTGGTTCCCAATATAGTTTTTTTTTTTCAAACTTGTTACGGGGGTATTCTCTACATAATGGCTAAAAAAAAAAAAAAAAAAAAAAA